AAACTGTTATATTCATTCCGGAAGAATATTTAAATATCCTATTTTTTTTAATTTTAACTAACTTCGTAATTTTGTCGTTTTATGTTTTGATTATCTTGTAATATACATATACCTTAGAAGTTTCAACTATATACCGAGAAATTTCGATAATTTTTGTTATCCTTTGAATCTCATTATTCCTTATGCCACTAATGATAAATAAGGGAAATAACAAAGGTTAATTATTTACCTTAAATTTTTCGTTTTTTTTTTTTTTTTTTTTGGGAAGGAAAGGAGTGGGAGAAGGAGCGATAATATTTCGTTTAATTTTGATTAATAATTGCAAAATGCGTACGTCGGACGTTTTCAATCCGGAAATTTATTGCATATTTCAGGCTACATCATTTTTTCTTGATTGTCCTACTGTTGCTCACTATGTACAAGAAGCACATGCTACTGCAGCTCTAATAGCTGCCGCTGTTCATGATTTAGATCATCCCGGTAGGTATCCATTTATCTTTCACTCATGATCTGGATCATCCCGGTAGGTATCCATTTATCTTTCACTCATGATTTAAATCATCCCAGTAGGTATCCATTTACCTTTCATTCATGATTTGCATCATCCCGGTAGGTATCCATTTATCTTTCATTCATGATCTGGATCATTCCGGTAGCTATCCACTTATCTTTCATAATTTAGATCATCCCTGTAAGTAGTAAGAAAGGTATAATATTTACCTTTCATTCATGATTTGGATCATCCCAGTAGATATCTATTTCTCATGATTTGATAGATTGTCTGTCTATTCCCTAAGGTCTGTCAAGTATTACTTGTATTAGCAGGTAAGAATTTAGAATTACTAAAAACATCGTATCATGAAGTTATAGAGTGCAACCATGAATAGATCATAATGTTAGTAGAAGTTATCACTTATCATGAAGTTTTGCAAGTCTAACAAAATGACAAAACCTTACTTATCATGCCAAAATATTTCACAGATGACAACTGAGACATCACCGCTTCAGCAACTCTTAGCAAATATGATACATTGTCAAATGTAATAATTTAATGTTATTTGATGACAATTCATTTTTATTTGAAATAAAACAGAATTGTCTGTAAAAAAATTATCATTTTCAACGATATATTCCAAAATTGGAACGAAAAAAAAATTATTCAAATTGTTTTTAATAAATAATCAATACTTATTAACATTATTATACAATAACTAATTAATTGATATTTATACACTTAAAAATGAAATATATTCAAGAGAACAAAAGCAAAATTAATTTCAGGACGTGGCAATGCTTTTTTAATAAATATTCGGCAACCATTGGCATTATTATACAACGATCAATCCGTACTGGAAAATCATCATATAGCATTAGCATTTCAGCTTACCTTACAAGGTACCAATGATATTAATATATTCGCTGGACTTACTCGAGAAGAATTTACAACATTACGACAAGCTACAGTTGAACTTGTCCTAGCTACTGATATGAGTCGTCATTTCGAATATTTAACAAAATTTCAACAAGTTGTTTCAAATTTAAAGGTATTTTTTATCGAAGAAAATTTCAAACTAAAGTTGACTCAATTCTAACTATTACTTCGTTTTATTTTTTATTTTTAACTGTAACAAAAATTATTTTAAACTGACATAAATTAATTTTTATTACTTCAGTTATTATTATTAAATTTGAAAAAAAATTAAAAATATTATTATTATTTACAATAAAAACAAAGCAAAAAATTGTTCATATAAGATTTATATTTACTTTACATAATTATGGCAAAATTTTCGAATTTCATATCGATTTATTTTCTTAAATAATCAAACTTTTCCAACCATAATTCATTTTTCAAAGTATTTTAAAGAATGTTATTTACATCTTTCTCTCTAAAGTTTGTACATTTGTCTTGTGATATTATTCAGATTGCGTCATTGTAGAAAGCGTCACAAGTGTCTAATTTACAACAACAAAAAAAAGAAAGAAAAAAGAAAAACAAAGAAGTATGCTTTAGCTAAAAGTGAATTATCAATTAATAAAATGAATCATTTGCTCTATCTCATTAATCAATTCT